ACTGTGTGCTACCCCCACCTCACCTGCAGATCCAGGACCTGGCCATTCGCTGTGTACAGAAGAACATCAAGAAGAACAAAGGGGTGAAGGATTGGCCCTGGTGGAAGCTCTTTACCACAGTGAGGCCCCTCATCGAAGTACAGCTGTCAGAGGAGCAGATCCGGAACAAAGACGTATGTGACAGCCTGGGAGGGCAAGTCTCTGAGAGGGAAGAGCCTTGCCAGTTTATCTTGGGCTTCTAAGCACTTCTTCGTTTAGTCCAGAAAGCTGGCATCCTTGAAGTGTGCCCATCAAACAGAAGATGTCCCTCTGGGGTGCTGCCTGAGCCCCTGGGCAGCCTCTTATGATCAAATCTTGGATATCCCCAGCTTATTGGGAAGGGTCTAGGGACAGGATCCCTGGGAGGCCATGGCTCTGCTGTTGGGTACATGACTCCCCCATGATGTCCTGGCCCAAGCTTCATCAGCTTTGTTCACTACAGGGGTGCAGACCCTCGCAGGGCCTTTGGCTCACTTTGCCCTCTTCGGTTCACCTTAGGAGGAGATTCAGCAGCTGCGGAGCAAGCTTGAGAAAGTGGAGAAGGAGCGGAATGAGCTGCGGCTCAACAGTGACCGGCTGGAGACCCGGGTGAGTGACTCCTGGCACCACACAGACTGGCCATGGACTTAGGGAGACCCGGCCCCTGCAGGTCCCTCGGGTGTTCTGGCTGAGTGAGGCAGGCACTTCAACTGGTGGTGACTCCCCAACCCCAGATCTCAGAGCTGACATCGGAGCTGACGGATGAGCGTAACACGGGAGAGTCCGCCTCCCAGCTGCTGGACACGGAGACAGCAGAGAGGCTCCGGGCTGAGAAGGAGATGAAGGAGCTTCAGGTGAGAGCAGGGCCCAGGGGAGGACGGCAGGCTGGTGACTGTCATACCCTAGTCCCCATCAGCTACCCCCAAAGATACTTGGCATCTTCACCCCTAGCCCAGCATCCCTGTCTGTCCTGGGTAAGCATGTGACCATGGTCTGTGTGGTTCGGAGAGTGGGTATGAGGGGGCAGAATGGCACAGCCCATAACCCCGTCTTTTGTAGACCCAGTACGATGCACTGAAGAAGCAGATGGAGGTGATGGAAATGGAGGTGATGGAGGCCCGTCTCATCCGGGCAGCAGAGATCAACGGGGAAGTGGATGATGATGATGCAGGTGGGCCCAAGGCCCAAGGAGCTTAGCAGTGGCTTGTGATGCAAGCCCTAATGCCCACCCCTGGATGGTCATGCCCCTTGTCCAGGCCTGCCTCCCCTCCATGGGGCTGTTATAAGACTAAAGTGAAAGAAATAGAGGAGAAGGCAGATGTGCCAGTAAATGCAGGGGATTGTTATGTAGAGCTGAAACAGCCTCAGTCATGACAAAGACTGAGGACCGTGGTCCCAGCAGTCCCTGGCAAGGGGACAGCACATGCAGCCGCATCTCCCACACTGGTTTTATGGCTAGTGGCTCCTTCTGCCTTGGGAGGAAGCCATCGTTGCAGAGAGCGTTCTGAGCCTTGGCTGACTCTTCCTGCTGCCCCCCCCACTTCCTCCTTCCCCTCTGCCCCTTATGGGGACTCTCAGCACCTCCATCCTCCTTTGTCTGCCTCAATCCCACAGATGGTGAGTGGCGGCTGAAGTATGAGCGGGCTGTGCGGGAGGTGGACTTCACCAAGAAGCGGCTCCAGCAGGAGTTTGAGGACAAGCTGGAGGTGGAGCAGCAGAACAAGAGGCAGCTGGAGCGGCGGGTGAGGCTGGGGAGGAGCCAAGGCCTGTACCTGGGAGGGCCAGGAGGGGACTGGTGCCTTGTGTTGGTCTGATGAATGCTGGGGGCAGGCAGGCCTGGCCTGGGATGGATCGGGGAGGCTGGCATGTTAGCTTCTCCGTGCAGGAGCAATCAGGAGCAAGCTATCATTAGAGCTTCTTCAGTTCCCTGAGAGACCCAACTTTCTCCTGTACCCCTGGGTCTTCCCTCACTCACCCACTTCCCTCCTCGCCTTCTCTGCCAATGCTTCTGGGCCTGTCCGTGGCCACTGACTGTGCACCCCAACTTGGTCCCCAGTTCGGGGACCTGCAGGCAGATAGTGAGGAGAGCCAGCGGGCTCTGCAGCAGCTCAAGAAGAAGTGCCAGCGACTGACGGCTGAGCTGCAGGACACCAAGCTGCACCTGGAGGGCCAGCAGGTCCGCAACCACGAGCTGGAGAAGAAGCAGAGGAGGTGGGTGGGCCCCTGCCCTGGGCCCAGAGAACCTTCTGGAGCAACCAAAGCCAGGACAGCCTCCTTGCCCTGCAGAGAGGAAAAAAGGAAGGACCTGAATTTGCCTTGCCTGCCTGGTCATTCATCTTGGAACATGAAGGGGCCTCCTCCTGACCTCCAGGGTAGACTCAGGCTGTGTCCCCACTGAAGGCCTGCCCAGGCCTCAGCTCTTGGAGGTGCTCCCCGCACCGTGTGCCTGTCACCCCATGCATGCCAGGAAGGGCATCAACCAGGACCCATGCAGGAACTGCTGCATCCCTGCCCCTGGCCCCCAGCTCTGCCTCTCCCTCACTTGCCTTAACTATACAAACACACTCTCCTGACTAATGTCGTTAAACTACCGTGCCACTTCCATCTCATTATGGTAATGATACAAAGGAGGGGGGTGGCCCTCACAGGAGAAAATCCAATCTAAATTAATTTCCCAGGCTGGGAATGAGGATGGGACGCCTTTATTAGCAGCACTGAGGAACCCACACACCCTAGGAACAGCAGGGCGCCCCAGGGAGTGGGAACAGTGCCCGTTTCTCCTCTGCAGGGGAAGGGCTTCTCAGCAGAGGCACCGGTTGCCTTTGTGAAGGGGCATCCCACACCCAGGACCCTGGGAGTGAGGATGGCAGAACAGAGCCTTTCCAGTGACCCTGGGTTGCCCCTGGCCTCCTGAACCCCTACCATCTCCCCAGCTGGGGAAATAGGAAGGTTTTCCATTCCTCTCACCCAATACCATGACCATCATTCCCTCATTCTCATCTCTGCCCTCACCCTACCCCTTTACCCAAGAGCTGGCACCCTTAGCTCTACCCCCTTTCTGAGCACCTGATGGTAATGCCAGCTCAGCCTAGTTACTGTGCTGCCATGCTCCCCACTGGGCAACTTATTAGGTTTTGGCTGCCCGCAGTTTTCTTACTTTTTTTTGATGTGGGGTTGGGGTAAGGGGAGCTGTTCAATTTCCACAGGAACCTAATTAGCTATTCAGGGAAGGTGTTAAGAGGAATTTCAGCAATTTGCTCCATATTTAGCGGGAAATGGAAGGCTGGGAAGTGGAGGAGTGAAGAAAGAGGCCCCCTGTGTGCCCATTGAGGCATGCGGCCAGCTGGGCACAGTGGGAATGTCAGCTCTGAACCTAGTGTGGGGTTTCCTGGTGGTGTCCTGCCGGCACTGCTGGGATGTGTGGTCCTGGCCAAAGAGGCAGAGGCAAGGAGCCGGTTGCTGCCCTTAAAGTTGCCAAACTGAATTGTGCAAAGTGAGTTAGTGGAAGCAGGGTGCTCATCTCTATCTTCTTCCCACCCATCCCTCACGCGGGTACCTCATCCTTTGATGTGTTGAAATGGAGAATGTAGAGACTTAACTCCTGAGGGGGCCTGTTCCCCTGCCTGGAAGCAGTCTATGGGTCTCTCCTAGGCCTACTTGGTGAAGGGCTCACCTGATTGAGTGCTCCCCATCCTAAACCTGGTTACTCAATAGTGCCTCAGTGGCCTGACCTGCCACCTCTAGATGTCACCCCTATCTCACTACTGGCCCCACGTTAGGGCTGCATGGGTTCCCCCACCCCTGCTTGGGTCTTGTCCATGGCACGACCTCCTGACAGTCTCTGTGCAGGGGACCCCGGCTCTTCCCCCATTTGATGGAGATACCACGCTCCCTCACAGGTTTGACAGTGAGCTCTCGCAGGCGCATGAGGAGGCCCAGCAGGAGAAGCTGCAGCGGGAGAAGCTGCAGCGGGAGAAGGACATGCTCCTCGCTGAGGCTTTTAGCCTGAAGCAGCAACTGGAGGTGGGTAGGGCCACCCACCATCTGTGCCCCGTTCCCCTCGCAACCGGGGGCTGGCCCTGCACCAGCCTCATCTCTTTTGCTCCAGGAAAAAGACATGGACATTGCAGGGTTCACCCAGAAGGTTGTCTCCCTAGAGGCAGAGCTCCAGGACATTTCTTCCCAAGAGTCCAAGGATGAGGCCTCTCTGGCCAAGGTCAAGAAACAGCTCCGGGACCTGGAGGCCAAGGTCAAGGATCAGGAAGAGGAGCTGGATGAGCAGGCAGGGACCATCCAGATGCTGGAGCAGGTACAGGAGGGCTTGGCCAAGGGAGGGGTGAGGTGCAGTGGGGCCGCCACCATCCCCACAGCCAGCCCCAGGCACGGGCCAGAGGATCCCGCCCCCATTCATTCCTGTGTTCACTTGCTCACCTACTCACAAAATGTGGAGTGAGCACCTGATCTGTGCCAGCCACAGTGTGAAGATAATTAAGTGCTCGTGGAGCGTTCCACAAAAACAAATCTGATGGAGCTCTAGTAGGGAGGGGCTCAGGATGCATGGCAGCCGAGGGCCACAGGCCCACCCAGCCTGCCACCAAGCCACCAAGTCAGTTCAGGGAGCTAGAGCCTGCAGGCAGATGGAGAAGCTGTAGGGCTGTCCCCACTCCAGCTGCCTCTCTCTGGGCCTATGCCAGACCTCTAGTAAGGGAGTTCAGCTGCTCTGGAGAAGCTGTTGCCACGGGAGCAAGGTGCCGGCAAAGAGAACTGGCTGGCAGGATGTTCTCGGCCCCTGAGCCTAGCGAGAGTCATGCACAGGTGGGGAGTGGGTGGGTGCTGCTGTGGAGGGAACCCGGACCCTACTCCACTTCCTCCAGGCCAAGTTGCGTCTGGAGATGGAGATGGAGCGGATGAGACAGACCCATTCTAAGGAGATGGAGGGTCGGGATGAGGAGGTGGAGGAGGCCCGGCAGTCATGTCAGAAGAAGGTAAGGTATCTGGGTACTTACCTTTCCAGCGTTAACTGCCTGTTCCCATCACTGCTTTTTAGTCAGGGGCTTTTCTGTCTCCCTGCCTCAGCCACATTGTCTTCCTTTGTCATTCTGGGCCAGGAAGCACCTCTCAGGAGCCTGGCATTGGCAGGGATGTATTGGCTCAGTCTGTAGAGAAACTTGGGACCGTGAGGAACTAATGCTCCCTGCTTTCTATGCCAGGGGTAGCCCCCCATGGCCCTGCTGTGCTGTGCTGGTGCTGCTTGCAGTCAGCTAGCCTGGCTGGACAGGTCTCCACTGGGCAGCGATGTCTCCTACTCTGGCTCAGGTAGCCACCACATGTGGCCTGCCATCCCTCCTCGTCCTCCCAGGCTGCTTTGAAGCCCTAGAAACCTGGAATTTAGGTTCAGACCCCTCCATCAACATCACTGTGCTCAGGCCCACCCCACTGTTTTCCTGGAGTGGGGGACCCAGAACAGAAAGGGCCTGCTTGGCACCAGGCACTAAAGGGATGGTTGGGTCTCTGTCCCCACGGTACTCCAGTTAAAACAGATGGAGGTGCAGCTGGAGGAAGAGTATGAGGACAAGCAGAAGGTTCTGCGAGAGAAGCGGGAGCTGGAGGGCAAGCTCGCCACCCTCAGTGACCAGGTCAGGGGACGCTCCACCTGCCAAGCCTGGCCAGCTGCCTGCCCATGTAGCCTGATGGGTGGGGATCCTAGGGATGGGGAGCTGGGAACAGAGCTGCCAGAGGAATGGGGGTGCTCCAAAGAGCCCATCCTCATCCCTCATGGAATGGGGGCATCACCATATGTTGGCACGCCCAGGCCTTTCTCCCTGGTTGGCCTGATCCTGGCTCTTCCATATCCTTATGGAGATGCTGATAATGAAGACATGGTGAGGAGGGGGTTGGGGAAGACAGGAGGAGGCTGTGTGATGGTGCCCAGAACCCCAACTGCTGATGCCACCCAGGTGAACCGGCGGGACTTTGAGTCAGAGAAGCGGCTGCGGAAGGACCTGAAGCGCACCAAGGCCCTGCTGGCGGATGCCCAGCTCATGCTGGACCACCTGAAGAACAGCGCTCCCAGCAAGCGGGAGATCACCCAGCTCAAGAACCAGGTATCCAGAGAGCACAGAGCTTACCTTTTCCATTCTCTTTTTCTCTCTTGCTCCTCTCAGTGGCTCTTGAGTCCTTGGGAAGGAAAGTGACAGGAAAGAGGGGAGCCACATGTAGCAGCCAGACTCCCCAGGCTGTGTGTGTCTACTGTCTGACCACCCAGACCGGGGTGGTGTGGACGGGGCCTGGTGCCCACCAGCCCTGTCTCAGAAGGAGATGCCCATACCTGCACCACCACACACCCATGGCCCTGGGGTCTGAAGTGAATGGAGGAGGAGGAGGAGGGCATCTGGGCTCCCTCTTCTCTGCACAGCCCTCCTGTGCCCAGGGAATGGCTGACATCTCTTCCTGGGGTGGGGGGTGGTCTGTCTCCAGCTGGAGGAGTCAGAGTTCACTTGTGCAGCAGCTGTGAAAGCACGGAAAGCAATGGAGGTGGAGATCGAAGACCTGCACCTGCAGATTGATGACATCGCCAAAGCCAAGACTGTGGTGAGGGACCGGGCTGCCTGGGGCAGGGCTCAGGGGGCTGAGGCAAAATAGAGCTTCAACTGTGGCTCCCTTCACCCCAGATAGGTCCCTTCACACCAGGACTTGCTGCAGGAAGAGCAGGCCTCCCCTCCTCTGCATCTCCCTACTCTGAGCAGAGGCCTAGGGGAGGAGCATGTGGAAGAGGGAGCCAGCAAGGGCCCATCTCCCTGTTTAACCACCTGCCTGCGGGAGCTTGGCCACAGGCTCCAACATCATAAATAAAGGCAGCTAATGTGGCTGAGGGATGTAAACAGGTGCCTAGAGATTAGCAGAAGCACCGATAAGAGGACAGGATGGCTCGGCTTCCCTCCCCTTCCCCCTGCCCAGCCCACTGACAAGCCCAAGCAGCAGCTAATTACAGCTCTTATTTAATGCCTCCCTTTTAATTCCCCACCTCTCCCACGGCCCATCCATCGGCAGAGAATTCATTACGGGGATGTGGCCACCGATACCTCCTTGGGCAGGGAATGGGACAGGGAGGAGGCTGGGCTGGGCTGGCAGCTTCGTGGCCCCTGAGCTAGTCACCTGGCTGCTGAGAGATGCCAATCTCACAGGCATGATTTATCCCCGTGACATTTGTGCTCCTCAGCAGTTTTCAGGTGAGTAATTCAAATTCCTTAATTGTGTTAAAAAAGGCTGTTATAAAATTACCATTTTATTTAAATCTGAGTTAATAAATTTCTTGGCGGAGGCTTCCCCAGCTCCCCACAGCCCAGTAACAAGATGGATGGGGCAGAGAAAGAGCCAACACAGTCATTTTGGTTTGGAATTACAGGCTAATAGATTCATTCATTTCCTCAAGCTGCTGTTGGCTCTCTCTTCCCCTCCCCCAAGGAGGGGACTGGCTGTGGGGGCTGGATGCCCAGGGAGTGGGCAGTCCCAGGGGAAATGACAGTCTAAGCCAGGAGACCTTCACAGATTTGAAGGGTCCTTCCCTGGGGCCTGAAGGGGGCAGAGTACATGCAGGTCAGGGCCTGGACTGATAGTGCCAGAATGATGGGTCATTTGTTCTGGGCAGACCTTTTCTGCCTTCTCATTAGCCTCAAAAGAGCTGCCAGAAAGCAGCTGTCATTCAGCTCAGAGGCCCAGGGTCTGCCTATACTGCATACAGCCCTTTACCTCATCTCCCTGGCCCAGAGCAGGGCAGGCAGCTCCCTGAGTGTCACTGGTCCTAGGACCCACTCCAGTGTGCGGGCTCAGCCCATTATCATCTTCTTTTCTATGCCCCCGCCATTGGAGGTGGCACAGGAGGAGGCTTGGACTTGCCACCTGGAGCCCACAGGCACACCAGGCCTGATGCCCTCTGATCTGCCTTTGCCTCTGTCCAGCTGGAGGAGCAGCTGAGCCGCCTTCAGCGTGAGAAAAATGAGATACAGAACCGGCTGGAGGAGGATCAGGAAGACATGAACGAGCTGATGAAGAAGCACAAGGCCGCCGTGGCTCAGGTACCCCTGCCGGGAGTGCCCTCACGCTCTGCACCATCACCATCCTTCTGGTCTTCCTCATGGGTCTCCCACACAGCCGCTTGTTTTGGGAGGTGGCGGTGCAGTAACCTGGGTCCCCTGGTGTTCCAGCTGGGCTGGGCTAGCTGGATGTTTATGGGGGATCCTGCTTCTGATGCTCTCATCCCTTTCCCAGGCTTCCCGGGACCTGGCTCAGATAAATGATCTCCAAGCTCAGCTAGAAGAGGCCAACAAAGAGAAGCAAGAGCTGCAGGAGAAGGTGAGGACCAGCGGCTCCCTTGGGAGAAAGAGGGTGCCAGGGTTACTACATGTGGGAGGAACCCCCAAGTTCACAATTTAGAAGGTGCTTTTCTCTGTTATCAGTAATCCACAGAGCAGAGTAAGCTAGGAGCAAGAGCTAGGCTTGGAGCCATGTCACCATAGCAGACATTTGGGCTTCAGCTGCCTCATTTCCCATCTCTATTCCCTCTCTAGTCCTTAGCTTTCTCCTTTCTCTCCGAAGGGCAAGATCTGTGCCAAGCGCTGGGGCAGATGGGGGTGGCCTCTGGCTTGGGGCCCCATTCTCTTTCCTCCCCAGTGCATCATCCCACTCCGCCTTCTGGTCACCATGGTGATATTGCCTGCCCCAGATGCAGCCTCCTCCCTTTCTGGGCTCAGTTCTTTCTTCTCTTCTGCCCCTGACCTCTAGCTACAAGCCCTCCAGAGCCAGGTGGAGTTCCTGGAGCAGTCCATGGTGGACAAGTCCCTGGTGAGCAGGCAGGAAGCCAAGATACGGGAGCTAGAGACACGCCTGGAGTTTGAAAGGACGCAAGTGAAACGGCTGGAGGTGGGTTCGCACTTCTCTCGGGCCATACCAAGCAGGGAAGAGCTGCCCCAGAGCTGGAGCCGCGCATGCTCAGCAGGGCTGGGCAAACCCCTGGACACTCCTCAGAGGCTTGTGCCTCGCTGCCAGGCCAGCTGACGGGCGGGTGCTTCATTCTCACCCTGCCTGGCCTGCTCTCTGGGTACCGTGGAGCCCGCCTGCTTTACATTCTGTTTCCGTGCTTGCTTTCTGCCAAGGGACCAGAGCAGCTTAGCTCTTCGTCTTCATATTTTCCTCCACCATGAGTTCCCCCCGCCTGTTCCCCTCAACCGGCTCTCTGGCAGGGTCATAAATATGCAGTGGATGGTGCCACTTCTGTGCAGACTGGAGCCTCTTCTCTCATCTGCCCTCCCTCTCCTCCTCTCCCCTTCCCTGCTTTATTCCCTTTCTTCCTCACTTCTTCCCGCCCTCCTGTCTCTGCTTTTTCTCTCTCTCTTTCTTTTTCTTGATTATAGCCCTATTCTTTCTTCTCCCTTCATATTTTTTCCTCTCCCCAATCTTATTTCTCTTTCTCACCCTCTTCTCATCCCAGTCTCCTCTCCCTTTATTATAAAGTTCATTCACTTTTTTTTGTTTGAGATGGTGTCTCACTCCGTTGCCCAGTCTAGTGCAGTGATGTGATCATGGCTCACTGCAGCCTCGACCTCTTGGGCTCAAGCAATCAATCCTCCCATCCTCCTGCCTCAGCCTTCTGTGTAGCTGGGACCACGGGCATGTGCGGCCTCCCATGCCTGGCTAATTTTTGTATTTTTTGTAGAGACAGGGTCTTGCTTGTTCTCCAGGCTGGTCTCGAACTCCTAGGCTCAAGCAATCTGCCTGCCTCAGCCTTCCAAAGTGCTGGGATTACAGGCATGAGTCACCAAGCCAGGCCCTATTTTTCTTTCTCTTTCCTTTAATCCTTCTCCTTTTTTGTTCACCTTTTCTCTATCCTTTTATCCTCTTTCCTCCAAACTGGAGTTTCCATATTCCAAATTCAATCCTTTTTCTTTTCTTTCTTTTTTTTTTTTTTTTTGAGACAAGGTCTCACTGTCACCCAAGTTGGAGTGCAGTGGTATAATCTCAGCTCACTGCAATCTCCACCTCCTAGGCTCAAGCAATCTTCCCATCCCAGCCTCCTAAGTAGCTGGGACTATAGGTGCATGCCACCATACCCAGCTAATTTTTGTATTTTTTGTAGAGATGGGGTTTCACCATGTTTTCCAGGCTGGTCTCAAACTCCTGGGCTCAAGCAATCCACCTGCCTCAGGCTCCCAAAGTGCTGAAATTACAGGCGTGAGCCACCATGCTGGACCAATCCTTTTTCTTTCGGTCTCCAAAGCCAGCATGGGCCAGCCCCTTCCATCTCTGGCAGAGCAGATAGCAAGAGAGAGACAGAAAGGATTCTCTCCTGGGTTTACACCTGTCTCACCTTATTTTTAAGTTCTTGAGGGTTTTTTTTTGTTTTTTGACATGGAGTTTTGCTCTTGTTACCCAGGCTGGAGTGCAATGGCGCGATCTCAGCTCACTGCAACCTCTGCCTCCTGGGTTCAGGCAATTCTCCTGCCTCAGCCTCCTGAGTAGCTGGGATTACAGGCACACGCCACCATGCCCAGCTAGTTTTTTGTATTTTTAGTTGAGATGGGGTTTCACCATGTTGACCAGGATGGTCTCGATCTGTTGACCTCGTGATCCACCCGCCTCGGCCTCCCAAAGTGCTGGGATTATAGGCTTGAGCCACCGTGCCCGGCCAGTTCTTGAGTTTTTAAGCATTTGTCTCCACACCTTCGATTCTGCCTGGGCCCTGTGTTGATGAGTGTGGTTGGTAAGGGGCAGCCCTACCACCTCCTACATCAACTCCCAGTCCATGGAGCAGGCACTTAGGTAGGGATGGAAACAGGTGGGCATCTAGAGGGCATTAGTAACCTGGAGACAGGAGGAGAGCACAACTGACCCTCCCAAGGTGGGGTTGCAGCCCTCAGGAGAGCTGGAGAGAGTTAGGGGAAACTTGAGAGTTTATTTTCTGCCCGCACCAACCCCAGGCTGGCTAATAATATTTTGATCCCTATTTTACATACAGGAAGGGTTACCCAAGGTCACAGAGCTATCAAGGGACAGAGAGGCCATTGGTCTGGTGGACACAGGGCAGGCCCACAGGATCTGTCTCCTTTTCTCTTGGGCCTAGTCCCTTTCTGCACCTCTGTCTCTCAGGTTCCCTTCTGCTCATAGAGTTTTGTGATTTAGATTCATAGGATGTTAAACATGAATGGCCCAATCCTGCAGCCTGGCTCTGTTATTTTAGGGACATAGAGGCTAGAGGCCCAGTCAGAGGTAGAACCAGGGTTACAAGCAGATGCAGGATTCTTTGCTCACATTCAACCCCTCTCTCCAGTTTATTTCTTGCTCGGCATCCCACTACCTGGTGGGAGATTCATTAGGCTTAGAAAGATGCTCTCTGCTTGGAATCTGATGATTGTTTAGTCTCTCCTAATCTAGAACTCCAGTAAAGCCATTTAGTCTGAGCACAGGATCTAGCTTTTGGGGCTTCT